GACTTCAGGGAGGCCAGTTTGGTCTTTAAACTTTAAAGGTAAGTCCTTACCTTTAAAGTTTAAATGTAATGTGGGGTGTTTTGAGCATGTGCAAAGATCGCCATTCTGTGAATGGCTGCCTATGCACATGCTCAAACTGTGTTTGTTTGTTTGTTTGTTTTTTTTAAAAAAACGCCAATGCCCGCAGCGTGTGAGCGGGCGTCCACCGGAGGGATCCGCAAAATGGAGGGTAAGTGTGATCGCGTTTATGCCGGCAGAAATGCCCCGTCTGAACGCACCCAGAGTGTTGGACTGGATGGGCCACTGGCCTGATCCAGCATTGGCTTCTCTTATGTTCTTAAGACTTATGGTGACCCCGTAGGGTTTTCAATGCAAGAGGGATGTTCAGAAGTGGATTGCCATTGCCTGCCTCAGCGTCGCGACCCAGGTATTCCTCGGTGGTCTCCCATCCAAGTATCAAGCTGGGCTGACCCTGCTTAGCTTCTGAGATCTGATGAGATCATCCAGGTCAGGGTTAGCGCATTCTAATCCAGCACTTACACACTGGGTCCTACTTCACCTCTAGGACCCAATGCAAGAGAGCTGATCTAGAATTTATTCACAGATTCAGGAAAATGCACTCTCAGCCCTTCCCCTGCTTTAAGAGGGAACCAGGACTCCTAACTCAGTATAAGTGCCCAGATGTTAGAATGCCCCACTGTTTCACTTCATCCTGTATTAGATCTGATGTTTCTTTTATTCTGCTGCTGTAGGATAGGAGCATCTCACACCTACTCTGAACAAACTGATCCCCCCCCCCTTAGATCTCATTATAACCCAACCTCTCTTTTTAATCCACCTCCCCCAACACACAAACACACTTTCTTCTGGCCATTTCAGCTGGTCTAATAGATGTACACGTTCTGTGCATCTGATACGTGAGCTCTGACTCACAAGAACTCGTACGGAAATAAATTGTGTTACTCTAAGATGCCACCGACCTGACTCCAACGACATAAGAAGAAATGGGGGTGGGATTATGAGCTAAACTTTGAAGACTAACACTGAGGAGGCATCCTTCACAAAAACCTTCATGCTCGGAACAGAGGGAAACACAGTGATAGAAATGCCCACATGGCCTCCTCTGATGAGGAAAATGTCTATACTGTAAATGGGATGGATTGCACTTGTAACTCACTGGGAAAGGCCTGGGGGGGGGGGTCGTTCCTTTAGGGCCAGTGGTACAGGCAGCAACCCAGGGGCACAGGAAGAGGCCATGGGCAAGCCTGCCTATATCATTGACCCAGAGCAGAGAAACGTGGCTTGATCTGATCCTGGGCGGATTCAAAGGCCCAGTCGGCACGAGACTGCAGGTACTTGATCCTAAGGCCTTCTGTGCCACTGATTCTCCAAAAGGAAACTTATCTAGACAAGACTGTGAAGTTCTCAAATGAACAAACACAAGAGATGAGCCACTACAGATCTCTGAAGCCACATTTCAGGGACTGGAAAAAAACCCCAAGTAGACAAAGGACAACAAAACTGACCAGGGTACTAGGAACAGAGCCAAGGGAAAGGAGACTAAGGGAGCCCTCTTGTGGATTGCTTAAAACAAAATTCCAGTCTGGAAAGTGCAATGCCTTCCTGGCGACGGCTTTCTGATGTGCTGTTTCTGGAGGAAAGTTGTACAGAGATGACAACCCAGGCAGCAAAGAGTAAGCAGCTTATCATATTTTAAATTATCTCCCAAATTGTTACAAAATAATACAACAAACTGAGAGTCCCAATGGTACCTTTAAGACCAACAAAGGTTCGTTCAAGGTATGAGCTTTCGTGTGCAGGCACACTTTATCAACACTTTTGATAAAGTGTGTGTGCATACGAAATCTCACAAACCTTTTTTGGTCTTTTAAGGCGCCACTGGACTCTAAATTTGTTGTACTGCTTCAGACCAGCACGGCCGACCAACTAGATCTGTTACAAAACAAGAGATTATGTTGGATGGACAGGCCGACGGAGGCCTTCTTCTCCATATTCTTTGTATAGAAAGCTAATGTATGCGGTGAAACAGGAAGCAAGAGCTTACACAATAACACAAACTTGACTTGTTTCTGAAAACAAATACCACCTTTTAACTCTTTTGGATGATTAAAGAAGGAACGAACTGCACCAATCCCAGACCAAAAATGACTTTTTCTTAATGGAAACTGCACTGCCGTTGAACTGAGGTGGTGTAAAGCTCCCTGGTTTCCAGTAAATTGACACCTGTCATCCTATACAAATATGCCCATTTCCTTTGTCTCTCAGTTGACAGACTATTACCAGTTACATGACTGCACTTAACCCTGGAAATACAGGGCAAGCGGACAAGTTCTGGAGCAAACATATGCTTAAATTACCACCTTCTGACTGAGGAAGACAGATCGCTTTGCAGGATTTCTTCCTTGATGTGTTTTTGCCAGCCTTGACTAAGCAGTGATGGGGAAGCATGGCTTTTATTTATTGCATTGATTAAAACTGTTTATCTCACTTTTCCATAAAGATCAAAATAGCTTATAAAACTATGTAAAACATACTGTGCCAAAATTACACAGTAATAATTAAGCAGACCAAGCCAAAGTTCAACATCTGCCGTGGCAGGCATTACTGAATTCCAAAACAGCAAAAAATCCCCAAAGAATTTCTTCAGAAACCCAGCCCTTAAAGGTAGCCAGCAGTTAAAGTTACATTAAAAGCAGGGTAAATGCACAATCAGCATGCAACCAAAAGCAGAATGGGACAGAGAGAGAGAAAGAGAGATCTGCAAATGAGGAAATCACTTTGAATTAGGTCCAGAAAACAAACCGGAAGTCAATATACATCTTTTAGCAGAGAGATCAAGGGGTTGCCGTATCATGCGCCATCAACGCTGGCTGTAATGCTGGGGATCTGCTAAAGTCTATGAAGAGGTCTTCAAAGGCAGCCTCAACATACAGCGCTTCCGAGTAAACCAGAAGAACATGGGTCATCTTATTGGTCTCATTTCTTCCCCAGAAAGGGAAGCCACATGAGAATCCAAATACAGAGCAGAAAAAGTCTCCACCTTGTTTAGACACAGCATCAGTTTGTTCGGCCTCATCCAGCCTGCCTCCGCTTCCAGGCACCTGTTTGTCCTCAGGCCCCGTTTGACTCAGGTGCAAAGGAGAAAGCATTGAGTGTCACCAGAATGGTGGTGGCCAGGGGTGTCACACTGATGGTAGATGGCACCTGAACCCAAGTCCCCTGACTACCTAAGCCACTGGTTTCACGCAGATAGCAAGAAGCAAGCACGCAAGACAAAACAGGACCCTGCAGTACAAATCACAGGGGGTTAACCTGGAACGACTTTCTGGAATTTTGATCTCTACCTAGGAGCAGAACCAATGTGATACCGTGCCCCCCCCCACTCCTGACAGATGTTTCAGAAGGATACCATAACTGAAGGTATTGAATGCTGCTGATAGATTTGGAAGGATGAACAGGATAGCACCTGTGCGTGCTCTCTCTCTCTTTCTCAAAATATAGGCTGTTGATTACAGGGACCAAAGCAATTTCTGTGCCAAGCGCAGGTTGAAAACCCAAATCAAAATCAGAAAAAAAAACAACACTCTCATTTAGAAATTCTTGGAGCTGCAGCACCCACCCATCCCCACTTTAAGAATCAAATTTATCCCATTTGGCTTTATAATGGCCTGGGTCCAATGCTTCCCAAGAAGCGTCATCTGTACACTTGTTCTTTTAAGCTCTCACAAGCTCTGCAAAGAACGCTGCACTTTTTATTCCCCATATTGCAGACAGAGGTGAGGTTAGAGGGAGCAGCTTGTTCAAA